GCATGGGCTTTATGCAGAGAGATCTTTTATGATGAGAGCTCTATCATGAGGTGTGTGGGGTGTATGAGGACAGTGCCTTTATGACATTTATGGTGTTTATGAGGGCAGAGCCTTTATGAGGTTTATGGCATTTATGAAATCATCTCCTTTATGATGACAGCCCCATGAGGAGGTTTATGGGCCCTTTCACGACAGGGGCCTTATGAGGCCTGCACTGTTGTGAGGTGTGTGAGGGTGATGAGGACAGTGCCTTTATGAGGCTGCTCCATCATGGGGTTGATGGGTTCTATGAGCACAGAGACCTTCTGAGGCTGCCCCATTGTGAGGTGGATGGGGTTTATGAGGAGAGACAATTTAGGATGGCCCCTTTTTGAGGTTTATGGGCTTTATGAGGAGAGCAGCATTATGACATGTAAAGGTTTTATGAAGAGGGAGCTTTTATGATGAGAGCTCTTTTATGAGGTGTTTGGGCTCTCTGAGGCCTGCACCACTGTGAGGTTTATGGGCTTTATGAGAGCAGTGTCTTTATGATGCCTGCACTTTTATGAGGTGGGTGGGGTTTATGAAGACAGAGCTTTTATGATATTTATGGTGTTTATGAGGACATGGCCTTTATCATGGGAGCCCCTGATGAGGTTTATGGGATTTATGAGGAATGCACCATTATGACATGTATGGGCTTTATGAAGACAGAGCTTTTATGATGAAAGCCCCATTATGAGGTTGTTTGGCTTTATGAGGTCAGTGCCTTTATGGGGCCTGCACCATTATGAGGTTTATGGGTGTGATGATTCAGACCTGGCTCCCTGCTAAATGCCCAAAATCACAGTAGCAACCCCTTCCCCCTCCATTCTTCCCTTAGGACAAAGGGAAAATAAACTATAACAAAATTGAAGAACCTGGAATCAAGCTAATTACATAAAAATATATATATTTATGTATATTACAGTAATATACAATTAAGATGCTATGTACACAGCACAGAGAATCCAAACACCCCTTGAAGGGAAAGGAAAAAGAGAAAAGGGGACAAAAGCAGACAAAAAGGGAAACCAAACACATATACACAATCAAACACAAGAACTGTCCTAATAACTAGCAAAACAAATCTCACCACGTCCCTTAGAAAAGCAGGATGGGCAGACACGGCCAGCACTCTCCAATCTCCCACGTGGTAGGCCAGGGGGCACTGAAGGCCTCAGCCTTAGATAAGCGAGACCAACACAAGGACCCACTTCCCTGAACCTTGCCAGAAGAGAAGAGAGCGAGGTCTCTGATCTCCAACTTATTTATACTCTGGTTTATG